TAGGAAGGAGCAAGGAACTTTAGTGGTTTGGGAAAGTGTACAATTCCCTAGGTAGATCATATCTGGAGTATTACACATGGATTTGGCTTTGTACTCCAAAATATAGAGCCTGTGAGAAAGTTTGGAGGAGCACACCAGGATCAAGAAAATATCATGAAGGCAGTTTAAAGGAAATTATTCTTTTCAGTTCCTCTGCAAGATTACCAAGAGTTTGTATTTTATCCATTTCATGTATGCATAGGGAATGTTAGACCGATTTAATAATTTTAAATTCAGTTTAGTAACTGCTACAAAAGTACATGTTTGATACTAATATTACAAATAATTTAAGTACACAGAAAGTTGTTATTTTAAGAATTATTGGAGAGATGTGATTGTTCAAAACTAATCTTGTTGCTGTAAAGGAATCTGTGGAGGTCTTATAGGTCATAGTTCTCAGTTTGTAACAGCTTGGACCTGCTGAGTTTTGATCACTTTCGTGAGTTGAAATGGACAGCTGTAGTCCTTGAGAAATTAGAGGACTTGATATTTTATCTCGGATGATAGCTACATTATTTACATGCACAGATCACCTGTTCAAAAGCGTGCCAAGAGTTTACAAATAGATATATTATAGGATCTTATAGATTGTCGCTCTCCAGGACAAGTTTGTGTTGCATTTGTTTAAATTATTTTTTTCTAAGCATATTCCAACACCATTGTCCAGAAATGCTTTACATAAAGTATGGTATAGTGTAATAAGCTCAGCTACTTTAATTTTAGTTAGGCTTTCTAAGATATTTGTCTTAATTTACTTAGCTCGCCCTGGGCAAAATCTAATTCATTTATACCACATTCCTCTCATTAATCTTTTAGATTTCCACTAATCTGGGATTATTCCCATAACGGAACACCTCAATTCACTCATTTATGCACTGGATTGAATTTTCTGTTACTTAGTTATTGTTCTGTCGCACCTCATTAATTACTTTTAAAATCAAGGGGCTTGTGTCAATGTATGCATGCTATACGATCTATTCAAACAACTGCAGTTCTTCAGGAACACACCCGAGCATGCTGTATCAAGTGTGCCAGCAATTGCTACCCTGGGGACCCGTTTTGGACAGTGTTGATGTTCATGCTTTTTGGTGCATTGTTGTTGTCCATGGGGAACATGCTTCTCCAGGTTCAGTTTGTATGTGAACCAAATTTCATCGGTCCACAACCTGATGTTTTTTTGCGTTGTTAAACTCTGCCCTCACTTTCCTTATATCTTTCTCCTTAGCATACACTGTAAACGTTCACCATATCCATTGTACAAAGAATAGGAGGCTGTTTTCTTGCATTCCAAATGCATTTATCTGTCAGTTATCCAACCACTTTACCCAGTACAGCATCACAGAGGAGTGGGAACCTATTCAAGCAAGCAGTGAGCGCAAGGCAGGACACACCAGTGTCCAGT